TGGAAAGCGGCTGTAGAAATTTGTAAACGAAACTATATGATAAGCTGTAACAAAGGGTGTACGCCCATAGTTCAGCATTCTGCAATTGGAGATAGGTAGGTCAAGCAGCCGCAAATGGCTTTCCCTGGAGTCGTAACTGGCGACTAGTTTACTCATCATCTTCAACCCCATCTTCAATTAGCTCGATCCAAGTCAAGCAAGATGGTCGAAGAGCTTCAGTGCAGTAACAACCCATTCTGCCGGTCGAGAAGAAGATGAACCCCTCCTATAAAGATCGAGTCTTTGACACCTAATTCCCAAGAGAGGAAAAGATCAAGCTTTGTTCGTATCTGGTACTGTATAAGTATGTCTACCAAGAAAATTCAACATCAAAGACTGAGTGACGTTTTTTTTCTACAGAGTAGGGCCATGAACGACGACACCTCCATAACCCACCAAAAAAAAAACAAACTAGGAAGCATAGCCAAAAGACTTCCAACCAAGTCCCGCCATTGACTTGCTTCCACAATATCATCCATGGCCTGCAATTCACCACCACCCATTTCCCCCTGATCCAGATGAAGCAAGCTTCAATCAACACTAAGAACAAAAATAATACGATCTCCTTGGCTTGATTCTCTACCTGCCGAAAAACAATGAAGAAACAGGGCATTTGCTCTGTTTTCCTTCTCCTCATCTTCACCCTGAATCCCTCCCCCACACTCTCCGCCGACGACTACACTCCCATCGACAGCATAGTCGTCGATTGCGGTTCCACAACCCCCGGCAGCAACACCGCCGACGACCGGAGCTGGGACGCCGACAACCCCTCGAAATTCCTCCAGCCCGGTTCGGAGTCGGCTTCTTCCACACCAACAGAGCCTTCCACAAGGCTCGAAAAAGTGCCTTACCTCTCCGCCCGATGGTCTCGCTCCAACTTCACCTACTCCTTCCCGGTCAACCCGGGCCAGAAATTCATCCGCCTCTACTTCTTCCCGGCGACATACTCCCCTGATTTCAACAAATCCGCCGCCTCCTTCTCCGTCGCCGCCGGCCAATTCGCCCTCCTCGACAGCTTCATCCCGGATCTCCACCCTCTATCGACAAAGGAGGACGGATTCCAGTTAGAGTTCTGCCTGAACGTGAACCCTAATCAGCAACGTCTCAACCTCACCTTCTCCCCAACCCCCGGCGCTTACGCTTTCGTCAACGGGATCGAAGTCGTCTCCATGCCCACAAATCTCTACTACTCCAACGCCGACGCTGGGCTCAACATCATCGGCAACGGCAATCAGCAGGGCAGCATCCGAAACGACACCGCGTTGCAGCTGATGTACAGAATTGACGTCGCCGGGCAAGGTATCTCTCCCGACGGCGGCACCGGGATGTATCGGCAATGGAGCCCCGACGATGAATACCTCAACATCGATCCTCCTCCGAGCTCTGTTTACTACAACGACTCGGTTCCCCTGAACTCCATTTACAGTAACGGCTCGATTCAGCTGCAGTACAGAAACGAGATCCATAAGCTCGTCGCGCCGGCGACGGTTTACAGAACTGCCCGGGGGATGTCGAACATCAGCGAATTGAACCTGCAGTACAATCTCACATGGAGTTTCCCCGTCGATCCTTCGTTTACATACTTTGTTCGGCTCCATTTCTGCGAGATCCAGCCACCCGTCAACGCCCGGGATAACAGGGCTTTCTGGATCTACATCGCAAATCGAACCACCGGGTCTTATACGGATGTGATTCAAGAAGCCGGCGGGAATGGATTCCCCATGTTCAAAGACTACTTGGTGAGAATTGAAGCTGAGGAAGAGAAGAAGCAATTGCCCTTGTTCGTTGCTCTGCGTCCTTTCCAGGAAAACAGCGCCTTCTACAATTCGATTCTGAACGGAGCTGAGATCTACAAATTGAGCCGGTCGGGTAGTTTGGCCGGACCGAATCCCGACCGCCCACCCAACCCATCGTCGCCGGATCCGTCTTCCTCCCCCTCGACTTCCAGCCCGACTAGATTAATCCTCATTGTCGCCGGCGGCGTCGTGTTAGGTCTCGCCGTGGTCTCTCTGCTGCTATTCTTCGTCTTCCGGCGGAAGCGAAATTCCAAATCCTCTTCGAGTTACATCGACGGCGGATCGGCTTCCAAATCGATGCTGCCGTATTCATCCTTCCCATCAACCAACGAGACATCCAAAGATGGCTCCTCGAATCTCCCCTCGGAGCTCTGCCGCCGATTCTCTCTCTCGGAGATCAAATCCGCAACGGGATTCTTCGACGACAACTTCATCATCGGGGTGGGAGGCTTCGGCGACGTGTACAAGGGGCTGATCAATTTCAACGGCGGCGGCGGCGCAACCACCGTGGCGATCAAGAGGCTGAAACAGGGGTCGCAGCAGGGAGCAAACGAGTTCCGAACAGAGATCGAGATGCTCTCCCAGCTCCGCCACCGCCACCTCGTCTCCCTGATCGGATACTGCTACGACGACGAGGAGATGATCCTCGTCTACGATTACATGTCTCACGGCACCCTCCGCGACCACCTCTACAGCAAATCTCAACAGATCTCCCCTTCCATTCCATGGAAACAGAGATTGGAGATCTGCATCGGGGCGGCACATGGTCTGCACTACCTACACTCGGGAGCCAGCAACACAATCATCCACCGCGATGTGAAGACCACCAACATCCTCCTCGACGAGAATTGGGTCGCGAAGGTGTCGGACTTCGGCCTCTCGAAGATCGGGCCCGCAGCCGGAGCGGCGAACGCCCATGTCAGCACGGTGGTGAAAGGGAGCTTCGGGTACCTGGACCCGGAATACTACCGGCTCCAACGGCTGACGGAGAAATCGGACGTCTACTCCTTTGGAATCGTCCTGTGGGAAGTCCTGACTGCGCGGCCGCCGTTGAATCGGGCGGGGGGGAACGACAAGAGGAAGATGGTGAGCTTGGCCGAGCTGGCGAGGCAGTGTTGCAAGAAGGGCAGAGTGGCGGAAATTGTGGACCGGGATCTGGACGGGGAGATTGCGCCGGAGTGTCTGAAGAAGTTCGCGGAGGTGGCGATGAGCTGCTTGGTGGAGAAAGGAGTAGACAGGCCGTCGATGGGGGATGTGGTTTGGGGGCTGGAGTTCGCCAAGGAGTTGCAATGCGGCAGCGAGGAGCGGGTGAAGTTGTTGGCCGGCGGCAGCGGCGGTGGTGAAGGTGGTGGCGGCGATGGGATTGAAGAGATGCGAGGCGGCGACTCTTCTTCGATGCAAGGGAGGAAGAGCAGTGGTGGTTCGAGTATGTTCACGACGAACAGTGAGATTGATTTGGGGTCGGGGGTGAACGGGATGATGGTTATTACGAGTGGCACTATGACATTGACGAGCGTTGAAGAGAGTTCAACCAATCATGAATACTCCGAAGATTCTTTGTTGGGGTCGAATCTTGTTTTCTCCGAAATTTTGGATCCAAAGGCTCGTTGAAATTTTGAGACCCACATTGTGTTTCGAAAATGTTGGTAAGTGATGAGTTTGAGCTCATAATTATTTGAAGAATAATAGTTTGGCCCACATTTTCCCGCGAATTATCGTAGTGTACCAATTACCATTCAAGAAAAATTAAAGTGAATGTCCATGAAATCAAAATGAACCTTAATTAAAAGTTCGTTAGCGTTCGAGATATCGCAATAATTTTGGGTTTAATACTTCAGTTAATTAGTTAAATGCATCCAAGTTCCAACCAGCGGCTTATATCGACAATAATTTTGAATTGGATAGTTGAATTAATTAGCGCAGCTAAATGGATTCAATCAGTGTTTTATACCAACGTTTGTAGTTTTTTATTTGGTAAAAATAATCAAACAGAAGAGCTGAGCGAGTTGTTGGAAATTATTAGTATGCATAGGTCATAGTCCTTAAAATTTGATGGTAACGTTTTGGTACCCGAATTTATTTATTTTTACAGTTTAGTACCTGAACTTTTAAAATTTATAAATAGGTCTGATGTGTTTGTATGTGGAATTCATATCTAAGGGCCATAGGGTCAAAAAATGACTTGACCCTAAACCGACCCGACCCGCCTATTTCTTATAGGGTCAAAAGGTGACCCGACCCCAAACTGACCCTATAGACAGGGTCAGGGCAGGTCAGTGGGTTTTTAGGGTCAAGTTTACACCCCTATTAGGTAACTAACAATATTTGTGGATTGGATACATTTAGGGTTAATACCTTAGTTTGGCTCAAACTATACACAAACTTTCTACTTTGACCCGTGATTTCGAAAATCGCTCTTCTGGTCTGAACTATGTACCATACTTTCATATTGCGCTTCTGGTTGATTTTGGTCTCCATCGATGAGAACACAATGTTTGTTCAATGGGGGTTGAGGGAAAGGGAAGAGATACGAGGGGTTCTGAAAATTATTTTATTTGATTTTTAGTAATAATTAATTATAATTCATATATATCTATGTGGCCCAATCAAATGTTTGATTGTTTGCCACATCATCAGTAGTTTGCCACATCAAAGTCAACTAACAGTTGACCGGACTGAAAGTTAACGGTTTGGCTATTAAATTGTTTTTAGAAAGATTTGACTATTATTTTGTTTAAAGTAAAAAGGTTTGGTTATTATATTGTATTTACCCAAATTTAAACTACCATTCTTTAAAATAGCTCACTTATGCCTGTATAATTAACATATGGTTCAAAAAGGCACGCTCAACCTTACGTTTAGGCACGCCTAGACACAAGGCAATGACAAAACGCCTCACCTAGAGGTTTCGCGCCTAATTAGATACTAGAACATGTCAATAGAGTAAGTCGACATAAAGTCTCTCCTAAACATTATTAGATGGAGTTAGAAAGTCAATATTAAAGGAGAAAATTAACATCAACTACGGAATCAATTTTCTATATCAATATTTTCAATAGCTCAAGAACTTTGCGAGCTATTGAGCCATGATTCTATGAATTCGTAAGCTATTTTTTTGTCAGTAAGTGTTGAATAAGTTATTAATCATTTTAGCTTAAGTGAGGAAGTGTTGTAGATTATTATTTCATTCATCATGCAATATAAATAGCTATTTTTCTTCCAACGGCTAGGTACGCTTAGTCTACGTCTAAACGAGCAAGGCGCTAAGCAAAGTCGCAACACTCGCTTACACCTAGCGCCTTTTTGAACCTTGATAATTAACGAGAGAAAGACAAAGGGAGGGTCACGAGCTGAGCTTTCCAGCAGCAGGTGGAAATTTGGAAATTTGGAATAATAATTGATACAGAGTGGGTTAACACTACCGCCAAACACACTAGAGCCCCACCTCCACCACACTAATAATGAGACCGGACCACTGCTGGATGGTAAGCATATCCATCTCTCTTCTCTTCCCTTCCAAACCCCATGAGCAAGACGAATCCTTCCGCAGTTTGGTTGGCGGCTGCAGCAGCCCTAGCCGTCGTTCTCTGCGCTACCAACTTCCTTCCGCAATGCGGAGCTAGCACCATCGATGCTCTGGTTACCACCCAGTTACTGGCTTCGGCAGCATCTGCTGGCATGGCCGACGCCATTGATGACGACGATGAGTTCCTGATGGAGTCAGGGAGCAGCAGCCAGTCGCTGAGGATGTTGCAGGCGGGAAGCCAGAACGTGTATAACTCCATCACCCGTAACCAGCCGGCTTACAATTGCGGCCAGAATCGGTACTACTGCCTCGACAACGGCCGAGATCGGAAGCTGTACTGTGATCCCAAAAGCCGCGATCCCGCTTGCCACCGCTGAATCCGTTTTTTTCCCCCCTGGTTTACCTGCATTTCGTTAATCACTACTGTCAAGTAATTGCTCCGGCTGCTCTGTTCCTCCCCTGTTTTCTTGTGGTCTTTATTTTACTTCCTTTTTTTTTTTTTTTTGTGTTTTATTTCATTTTGATCCATCTCTCAGCCAGTACATATATCTGTAATCAATCTGAGGTAGATGTTGTTGCTATAATTGTTTGAACCATAATTGGGTGACCAACCTAAGTCTGAGAGGTATGATTCCTTCATGTTGTCCCAATGAATATGAACAGCTCTAAATGCCTTGGCATGTTCCCTTGTATGTGTTAGCTTCCTTGCACCTTCCATCATGTTTATCTCTACGAGCATGTACCCTACTGTGTCACTGTGAAGGATGAATAGAGCTACACAAAGCTTTTTCTCTCGTGATTGATAGTAAATTTGATTCAATTGGCAATCTCTTTCTGAAATGAAAGACGATAATTACTACGACGTTAATCCGCACATTAAAGAGGGATGAAGAGGTTTTTGGGTGAGCAACTCAATTTGACTACGCCAACAACCGATTGGGCCACTCCCTAAAAAGAGATCACCAAAGATGATAGACTGATAGTGATCCTACCAAAAATGATCAGAGCAGCTAACTAATGATCATGCTAGTAATCTGACTACCTCTGCAAAAGCATTCTGTAATCACACGGGGAAGGCAAATCGTCGTGGCTTGAAACACTCAAATTTATCCTCAAGGCTGGTCATCACCTCACCTGCATTAGCAACCAGAACCAAAGAAGATTTGAAGTTGAAGAATGGACTACTGAGTACCGTCTAAAGAACGGAAGAGATGGAGCATATATGCAAAGCAATTAATCAGGTAATGCTTACTGTATTGTAGGAGAGTCGTTATATAATGGTGGTATCAGCCGGATAACTCCCTAAAACTCGCAAGGATGTCGCTAACTCCTGGCAAACGGGAGATATGCACGTTTCATGGTAAGTTCAGCATGCAATGAAGAAGAAGAATTACTTAGCAATGGAAAAGTCTGAAGAAGCAAGCCGCACATCCAGAGCTTTTAGAGCGTTTTGAGCATTGTCACTAGCCATCGAAGCCTCAAAATCGACATAGAACATGTAGTGAAAGCATCTGCAAAACCATACTACTAGTATCTTAGGTTACTTCACAAGATGAAGAGTTAATTGAGGGGCAATAATTGAAATGAGAAAGAAAAACAGCTATTTGTAAGTAACTTACTTCTGAAGTCCATTGGCGTTATCTCCAGGAGATCTCAGAGAGCTCCGTCTCCAAGGGCGGCTCTCGATCTTGTTCAAAAGAAGTATAAAGGAACAAAAATCATGAACATGCAAATAGCATAAGGAAATTTTGGGGGTGGAATGTTAGGCAAAAGAGAAACTTACTTTTGTTAGGTTGATTTGCTCCTTTGCAAAAATTTGAAGAGCCTTGTAAAGTACTCCAGGGCCTTCCTCAAGTGAAAAGACTATGCTTGTCTGAAAACCCAAGAGATGGTGTTATTACCATCCCTGTCTATTAGGTTAGTCAGGCAACAGCAAATACCACTACAATTAGTGTCATGTTAACCTTGAAAGGACGGTCAGTGTCCGGAGTTATGGCTTCCCTCCCCAACATCAGAAATCTTGTAACGTTGTCTGAGTCATCCTAACAGTATAGCAACAACTGTCGGTCTAGCTAGCATCAAAATAATCATAATCAGGAATACCAAAAATGCTGAAACCTGAATGTCTTCTGCTAATATATCTAAGTCGTAGATTGCAGCTGCAGCCGAACTAGCAACAGCTCCTGTGTCCTCCAATTTGCTTAGTGCAACATACTGCAATCTACGAGTTCAACTTCAGCAAGGCGAAACAAACAAATATATAAAAATCAATCATGGATTAAGTTAGCCACTCAATGTGGTCTACAATCCCAAACATAAATGGAAGGATGTCGCAAACCAACCAAAACCCAGAACAGATAAAATCTCATCTTACCTTTGCTGCACCAGCAGTATCATCCACTGCTTCTCTGACCAGTCCGAACCGGGTCAATGTATATTCACATTGAGCAAGTGCCTGAAATGGGTTCCAGTGAAACCTCCAGCCAGTTGGTTGAGTTGAAGATCTTGAAAAGGGATCAATAAACAATCATATTCAGCAACATACCTGGGGATGACTTAGAACTCTCTTCAACTGTTCAACTTTAACCCCTCGATTTGCTAGCAAGCAATGACGAACAGCATAGTTTATTTCTCCCACTATATGTAGCCTGTGTCGGAGTAAAAGGTCGTAATTTCTGTGGATACTCCCACCCAAAGAGTTTTCGATGGGTAACACAGCTCTGTCGACAGTGCAGCCTTCAACAGCCTATGAAGATTCACAGAAAAAAGCAGTACACAATCACAACTCACAGAGATAGCACGGCCCGGCTGTGATGGAGTTTAAACTATAAATCACAAATCTATAGAGCAATTTCAAGCTAAATGGCTAAACCTCAATTCAATGTAGAACTACAAAACTGAAATCCAGTTAACATTGGCGCACCACTAAAACCTGAACTCCAGCTCCTAACCAAAGAAAGCCTAGATAATTTGAGGTCCTCAATATTAAGTCAGAGCATTCAGTGGTCTGTTAAGTTCTAAGTTTCTCTCTTCACACACTTCACAGAACAATCAAAGAGAAACGGCAAATCCCAGTAGAGGAAACAGCATGAAGAAGAGAAATTTACTTCAAATGCAGTTTCGAATTGATCGCAAGGCACTGCCTCAGAGTTGGGATATGCCTTCTGGGCGGCAGCTTCGCTATACGCCCCACTAACCCCCTGCCATGACAATTTCCATTTCAGTAAAACAGGAAATCAATTTTCGAGAAAATGCCCTTTATCACTAATTGATACCGATATGCAGAAAGCAGCAGATGACCTGATAAGCAACGCGGAGGCGAGGTTCACCGGACCCCGAATCATGCATTCGCGCCGACGCCATCAAAGGCCCTGTGCATGAGCGCCTCCTTACGACAAATCAATGGCTACAGCGATTGATCGGAACGCGAGGGTTTGGCAAAGATTTGGCCCCGGAGTGGGGAAATTGAGGATCGTGTCAGAGAAGCGACCATCCAAATTATCCAATGCGTTATAAATGTTGGTAGTGTGAACAATATTCTACTGTACATTAAAGAATAAACCGATTCTACCAAAAAAAAAAAAAAAGAATAAACCGAGGTCGGCTCGCCTGGTCAGGCCGTATTCACCCGGAACCGGCCTTCACACCGGAGTAACCGGACTGTAAATTAAACCTAAACGAAGGATAGGTTTAGGCGTAGGGATGGCAACAAAACCCGAACCCACGGGTACCCACCCGACTAGGGCTGGCTATTTGGACCGGGACCAGATGAAAAACCGGAAACCGGACCGTATAACCCGGACCGAGACCGGACCGGGACCGGATAGTAAACAATCCAATCCAATCTTTGGGCTTAGATTTGAGGTAAAAAACCGGATAAAGACCGGATAAGAGAGCTCAACACCCAAAACTTAAGGTTAATTTGCATAAACGGTCACAAACCTTTGCACTTAGTACAAAACTTAACAAACTCCTCACCCTTTTAGGCCTTAGGCCACTCAAATTCCCACAATCTCAATATAAAATCAAGACCGAATTGGGACCGGACCGGGTCAAGACCGGACCGGATCAAGACCGGACTGTATCCAATCCAATCTTCGGTCCTTATATTTTCAAAAAAACCGGACTGGACCGGATCAATTTGAGCCAATTTAACCGGACCGGACCGTATAGCCACCCCTACACCCGACCCAACTCCGTCAACGCGGATAAAATCCGTGTTGACGGGTTTTGGGCCGGGTTTGGGTTTAAACCCGTTCACTATTCAACGGGTTGGGTTGGGTTTAGGTAAACCCGGCTCGTGGGTACCCGCCCACCCATACAATTAATTTTTTCGGTATATTTAATATTCTAAACAACTAATCTTATTTATGTTTGTGGAGACATGCCTAATTTTTTTTTTAATTGTGTAGAATGAAGTTGATGTTATGGAGTGGAGAGTAAAGAAACTTAACTGAAAGGAAGAAGCTTTCAATTAAACATGTTATTTATGGATAATTTGTGATTTGCTTCAATTTTCTTGAGTTTTCTAGATTTGTGTTGAACATGTGATTTGCTTCAATTTTCTTCAATTTTCACCATGATATAGTTTTCTATTCTGCCAAACTCTACCGTCATGGTATCTTTTTTTACTTCAAAATATATAAAATTAGATGTCATTTTGAATAATATAATGAATCTGATTATTTTGTGCAAAATTTTCCGATCGAACATTATCAAAGAAAAAATCAAAACAACATAAACAACTGAAGACATACAATAATTTAAATAGTGGGATCGATCAGTTAAAATTTGAATACTTAATCAACCAGGAGCACTAAATACATATAACCATCATCACAGGTCTTATATATTTATGCACTCAAGGTAAAAAAATGTGATATATATATTACATAATGCAACATGTGTCATGTACTTAACAAACAGAATAAGGCATTGTAGAATTATTTAACTTCACAGTTCTTACGAAAATAAAAACATATAGTTTATTTTCCTTCTATATATAATGTTACATTCGAGAGGAAGTCCAAGATTATATCGGAAGAATGATTGACAGAAACAAACAGGGGTAGAGATACAACATTTTGCAGTTACGGAGTGTTATTTAATAAGGATTTCAGCTGAGGATGGCGAGACCGTTGTTAGATGCAAAAGCTCTCGTAACTGCTTGAATGCTCTATCGAAAGAGATGAGCCCCATGAACCAAAATTCATGGTTGTCCACAGTCACCAGCTGAATGTATCTTTCTGAGGAATTTTGGGATGAGTTCACCCTACTCAACTGCTCAACCCTCATCACCACCTTCATCATATAAAGAAAAGAAGAAAAAAACACCAAAGATCCTCATTAGATGTGTGTTTTCCAAACTTGGAAATTAAATGGTATACTGCTATGGAAGAGATGGCAAGAGATGAGTATACCTTGTAATGCAGCCATTGTTGGTGGTGTCCAGCAGTGGGGGAGCGATAAACCAGTAAGGGGAAATCACTGCAGAAGGCGAGTCTCTTGTTAGAGACATAGAGGGTGCCGATCACCGGGCCGGTGGAAGTGGAGAGATAGCAAGCGTAGGAGTTGAGCAGCTTCTCCTCCGGCAAACTCCCAAACGTCCGGCTGAACACTTTCTCTGTTCCACCTTCTGCTAATAACTTCGTCCCCTGTTGGATCCTGGCCATGGCTGTGTCGGCCAAATTGGGGCTCACCTTCACTACATACATGTTTCCACCATTCTTCTCATCAATCAGTCAAACAATTTTTTACTTAGAGTTAACCACAAATCGAGAAGTTAGAGGTGGCAATTCACAATTCAATCCACCAATCCATTAAAAATATCCACATAATCCAATCCATTTGAATCCAAATCCAATTAGATTGGTGGATTCATGGATTGATCCATGGATCCAAATGGCATATTACGATTTGGTACCTATATTTTTAAATTTTACATTTTGGTGCCCAAAATTTAATTTTTTATACTAAAAATATCATTGAAAAATTATGTTTTGGTACCTAAATTTTTTTTATTATGACATTTTGGCATCTAAACTTTTTACATTTTACATATTGGTCTTTGATTAAGAATGTCATTTGAATTCATGGATAATCCACCAATTCATAGTCGATCCATTTGCCACCTCTAAACGAAACCATACCAGAATTAATTAATCACTAGATGACAACTAACCGATTAGAAAAATAAAAGAGGAAAGAGACATGATTGAAGGACGTACGGTGACGCCAGATGCCATCGGCGTAACCCTCTGCTTTCTTGGTGGCGTCTTCAAATCTCCTCCCGCAACGGCCCACCGCAACACACATCTTCTCTATCGGTCCTGCAGTGGGCAGAGCAACACCATGTCCATGATATGATATATATGTATACATGAAGATGGCAACAGCTAGCAAGTGATGAATCGAAATTTGTTACTGTTGTTGGCGGTGGGGGCGGAATCGGGATGAACTGGCACCGTCTCGATGTACGGATTGTAAGCAGATGATGGAGCAGTGTAATAGTTTCCGTTCTGATGATCCATTTTTTCCTCTGCTCTGCTAGCTGGTGACTACCCAATCCACACAAGTTGAAAGGGTTTAATGAAGTTTTGAGAAGGCGGAAAAAGATGGAATGGAATGGCATCCTTTTCCCGGCGGATTCGGGTTCCATTATATTTTCAACGGTGCTGTTAAGTTATGGAAGGAAGATATATGCTTCTGGCGCGGGAGGAACACGGATCAGACGATGGAAAAGTAGAAAAGAATTATGCTCTACTGTTTGGATTATTCGCTTCAATCTTCTTGCTGCTGGCTCCGCACCATTGATAAAGGAATTGTTCGCGCCTAGAAAGTGCCAGGCGTTTTAAGTAAGGTCAGTGAGGAATCCGCCGACTTCTTGAGATGTGGGAGTATCCGTTGCGTGGTAACTGCCGCCTTCTGCAAAGAAAGGTCCCGAGGCGTAGCCCGGGGACGCCCTCCAATGCCTAAGTCAGTAGTATTCTGTGGTGGTAGTCAGTATCAATAGAACGAAAGAAATATAGAGAGAGAATGGTTTAATAGAGAGAGAGAATGGTTTAATAGAGAGAGAGAATAGTTTTTCTCAGAGAGAGAATCCTCGGCCCCCTCTTAAATGTGGCGGTTATCCCTTATTTATAGCCTCCCCTGACAACCTGTCAGATTCAATACCTCGTACTTGTTTCCCCGGTGGCACGTCTGCGGCGCCTTCTTAGTGCCTCGTCAGCATTTGGGCCCAACCTACTCACGCTTGGGCCTCCTTTCGGCCTTTTCCCCTTTTGGGTCCTTTCGGCCTTTTCCCCTTTTGGGTCATTCCCAATACCCATGGGCCTTGATTTAGATGATGGTCCCTTTTGGCCCAACATTTGTCCCGCAGGCGGGTAAAGCCCCCGGGTTTGGGCGGCTGGTTTTTTATTCCTATGGCGGGATCATCCTCTAAATCAAGGACCCGCCCAGGTAAGCTTCCCCCCGGGCGACCAATCGGGGGCAAACCGCCCCGGACACGCCCCGCCCTCGTCGCCACGTGTCGGGCGACACGAGCTTTCACGGACCCCGGGGTCCTCGTTGATATGATGACGCTATATAGCCCTCTCTAGGGTTAGCGAACCGTCACCTCTGGAAATCGCGCCCTCATTTAAAAGTCACTCAGACGATCAATCGAAGGTATTTTCTCTTTCTCCTCATTCTTGTGCTCTAATTCTCTCGGTTTTTCAGTCGGTGATTCTGCCAATTCTCCTCCCATTGTCGCCGTTGTTGCAGCGAGCTTTGTTCTTCACCGACTTCCCGCGTCTGCTTCCTGTTTGGTGGTTCCGACCATGGCCGGAGAAGATGGATCGTCGCTCCCCCTTCCCTCTGCTGGTTCTGGGTCTTCTCCCAGCCGAAGAAAGAGTGGTGCCGGCGCCGCCGCCGCCGAATCTGTTCCTTCCGGCAACGACGCCGCCGCCGCGTCGGCGACCCCCGTTCTGGCCATCAATTTAGAGTCGTCGGACACGGTGACGGACCCGATAACCGCCGTTGCTCAAGGTATGCTTCATTTGAACGATTTTTCACCCTTCAGTACGTTCGGTCTTGACTGGGATTTTAGCGGGGTAGATTTTGATTTCGGTGGGTCTTGGTCCGACGATGGTCGATATTTGTTGGGTAGATTTGAGGATGGGTCATATGAATTGACCGATGTTGCTTTGGGTGTGAGCGTAGAAAATGTAGCACCTAGGGGAGACGCTTCCGCCATGGGGGATAACTTGGCAAGTTTTGATGACGTCTCCGTAGCGAGCGTGAGTTCCGATGAGGATCTTAGTATTGATGACCCAACTTCTCCCGAGCGGCCTTCCGAGTCTTCCATTGACCTCTCGGAGGACCTATCAGACCAGAGCTATCCGGCCGTGACGGATAACACCTATCATATACGCTTGCATGAGCATATGTGGGGGAAGCGGGAAGTTCCAGCTCGCGCATTTGATCGAGGACCTGACAGATACAGCAAGCTGACGCCTACGACGGTCCTCACCCGCCTTAGAAACCACCAGCTCCCCGCCGACTGGAAGTATGCTGCCCCGTCCCCGACCTCTCGAGCCGGCACATGCCCGAAGGGATGGATCACCATCTATACTGAGCAGCTAAAGTTGGGCTTGCGTTTCCCCCTCGATCCCCTAATCACCCAAACCCTCTTGTGCCTGAATTGTACGCTCGGACGGTTGTCGCCCACCATTATTTTCCACGCCTGCGCTTACAAGTTGGCGTGTAAGAGACTCGGGGTCGAACCATCCTTTGCCGCCTTCCGCTTTATTTATGGCCTTAGGCGTGTTTCCAACGTCTGGTCTTTCGGTAGGCGGGATAAAGCATATGGCTTTGTAACCGGGACCCCCAAACTTGATAAGGCCTGGTTTAAAGATTTTTTCTATGCCAAGCCTACTTCGCAATGGTATTCGGGTGACAAGGAGCCTCGCACGGGTTACGCCTACGGCCGGAAAGAGAACTGGGACGCCAAGCTTTGGACATTGGATTCTCAGAGGGACCATGCCGCTCGGCTCGCTGACTTTTCTCCCTTTAACTTGAAGCTGGGGGGAAATGATTCTGTGAGGTCAATTCTGGGTGAACTCTTTGGAGATGGTCAGTAGCACCATTGCCACGCCTTCCATTTATATCTTTATACTTGTATTCTATATTTCTAACTCTCCTTTTGCAGCCATGCACTTTGGGAACGTGGCGATGATGGCGAGGCCTCCAAGGCGGGGAAAACTTGCCGCTTCCAAGACCGGTGCATCTGCTAGCGGCTCTGCGCCTCCAAAGGCGATTGTTCCTCTGAATAAGCCTCCCACCCCCGTTGTGCAAACCACGCTCGCAAGCGGGGCGGGCGGGTTAATGACCGTGCAAGCCAGCTCTGAGCAAGGCCGCAAGACTCGGGATTCGGGGAAACGGGCGGCCGAAACTCCTGCTGGTGAGCCCGATGATGGTCGCAAGAAGCCGAAGGCGACATCGCTGACCGAGACAGTAGACTTCTCTCCCCATTCCTCCCTCCGAGAGGACTGCGCTCGCCGGATGCTTCATGAGTTGTCCGGTAAGCTTATTGTCCCGCCTGAGTACACAGAGGAGGAAGACCCTTCCACCAGACACTGGGTTGGAACCGCTGCCCGTTTCCTTCTTGCGGTAAGTACATTTTACTTGGAATCTTTTGCTTATTGACTTCCTTCTCTATCACCGTAACGAAAATTACTTTGCGCGCAGGCTGGCGTTGGTTTGTCCCAAATTGGGATGACCAACGAGAAGCTCCATAAGGCGAGCTTGCGCGGGGAGGTGGAGGCGGAGAAGTTGCGAAAGAGGATAGGAGAGTTGGAGGCGGAGTCTATCAAGGGACGAACTGCATTGCGGGCGGAGATGAAGACTGGGTTGGAGAAGGAATTCACCGCAACTACCAAGGAACTCCGCGCGGATCTGTCTCGTGGAATTCAGAAGGTGAATAGCCTGATGGCCGACAAGGAAGGTTTGGAGGCTGAAGTGACCCGTTTGCGCGACCGTGTGGGCGAGTTGGAGAAAGACCAGACAGAAAGTGTGCTTAGGCACAAAACTGAGGTTGAACTTGCCGCCAAGTCAGCGGTGGCGTCCTATCTGCTATCCCCCGCCTTCCGTAAGATTGATGACGCCAAGCGCTCCAAGGCAATTTCTGACACGGTTGCTGCTATCCGCCATCTGTTCCGCCGTGAGCACCCGTATCTGGCGTGGGATACCGATGCTGTGTGGGATGCGGTGGTGGACTGGGGAAAAGCTGAAGGTGACGTCAACTCGGAGGAGGTGGTATCAGAGGATGCGGGAGGTGATGCGGCAAGTTCCCGTGGCGTAAACAATCCTTAAGCCATTGCATTCATCCTTTTGCTTTTGGGGTCGTGTATGTTTTCGACCATGACAATCGTATGTACTAAGTATTTTTCCGCTTCTCAAACAATGGCCGCTCTAATGCGGTTTCTTCGAATTTATAACTTCTCCCTTTTCCCTTCTATCGGATGTCCTTACCATGCTGTCCTTTTATTCTTCCTATTTGGGGGGTGTCGTGGTGTATCGTCCTGATTTGCATGCGTAATTTTCACGGGCGTCGACGTAATCTGATTTATTTTTGTGGGATCCCGCTCTGCCTTCGTGGTGGCGTGTTATGAGCGAGTCCGCGCCCCTCAGGGCGGGCCGCGGGCGGGTTATTCTGCTTCGTGGTAGCGTTTTATGAATAACCCATGTCCCGGGACGCGTTTTTGTGGGATCCCGCTCTGCCTTCGTGGTGGCGTGTTATGAGCGAGTCCGCGCCCCTCAGGGCGGGCCGCGGGCGGGTTATTCTGCTTCGTGGTAGCGTTTTATGAATAACCCATGTCCCGGGACGCGTTATGTGGGATCTCGCTCTGCCTTCGTGGTGGCGTGTTATGAGCGAGACCGCGCCCCTCAGGGCGGGCCGCGGGCGGGTTATTCTGCTTCGTGGTAGCGTTTTATGAATAACCCATGTCCCGGGGCGCGTTTTTTGTGGGATCCCGCTCTGCCTTCGTGGTGGCGTGTTATGAGCGAGTCCGCGCCCCTCAGGGCGGGCCGCGGGCGGGTTATTCTGCTTCGTGGTAGCGTTTTATGAATAACCCATGTCCCGGGGCGCGTTTTTGTGGAACCTCGCTCTGCCCTCGTGGTGGCGTGTTATGAGCGAGTCAGCGCCCCTCAGGGCGGGCCGCGGGCGGGTTATTCTGCTTCGTGGTAGCGTTTTACGAATAACCCGTGTCCCGGGGCGCGTTTTTTGTGGGACCTCGCTCTGCCCTCGTGGTGGCGTGTTATGAGCGAGTCAGCGCCCCTCAGGGCGGGCCGCGGGGGTTATTCTGCTTCGTGATAGCGTTTTACGAATAACCCATGTCCCGGGACGCGTTATGTGGGATCTCGCTCTGCCTTCGTGGTGGCGTGTTATGAGCGAGTCCGCGCCCCTCAGGGCGGGCCGCGGGCGGGTTATTCTGCTTCGTGGTAGCGTTTTATGAATAACCCATGTCCCGGGGCGCGTTTTTTGTGGGATCCCGCTCTGCCTTCGTGGTGGCGTGTTATGAGCGAGTCCGCGCCCCTCAGGGCGGGCCGCGGGCGGGTTATTCTGCTTCGTGGTAGCGTTTTATGAATAACCCATGTCCCGGGACGCGTTATGTGGGATCTCGCTCTGCCTTCGTGGTGGCGTGTTATGAGCGAGACCGCGCCCCTCAGGGCGGGCCGCGGGCGGGTTATTCTGCTTCGTGGTAGCGTTTTACGAATAACCCATGTCCCGGGGCGCGTTTTTTGTGGAATCCCGCTCTGCCTTCGTGGTGGCGTGTTATGAGCGAGTCTTGGGAGTGGAGAGCTGAAAAGACGTTTGCATTGAAAATTTCCAAACTAAGGTTACATTTACTCCGCCGAGTAATACTTGCGCAAGTGTAGCGCATTCCAAGTCTTGCTTATAGCTTCTCCGCCCATGGTAGCGAGCTTGTAAGTACTCGGACCGATTTTGTCGCTTATCAGATACGGTCCCTCCCAATTTGCCGCCAACTTCCCATGTCTCTCCTTCTCCCGTTTCTCGAACATTCTCTTGAGTACCATGTCGCCCTCTTCAAGGGGTCGAGCGCGGACCTTGGTATTGTACGCCTTCGCCACTTTCTCTTTCTCAGTTATTATGTGCTCTAAAGCCGCCTCCCGCCTTGTTTCCGTCATGTTCAGCTGATGTAGGAGATTGGCATGATTTTCCTCTGGGTTGTAGGCGCGGATGCGGAGCGTTGGGAACTGTACCTCCGTCGGGACAACCGCCTCGCATCCGTATGTGAGAGCGAACGGTGTTTCCCCTGTTGCCGTTTTGTGTGTGGTCCTATGAGCCCACAGGATATGTGGCAGTTCCGTCGTCCAAGTGCCCTTTGCTTCACCCAGTCTTCTCTTTAGGCCTCGCAAGATTAGTTTGTTAGAAGACTCCACTTGCCCATTTGCTTGCGGGAACGCTACCGAAGCCAGGCTGAGCGTTATTCCATGTTCTAGGCAGAACTTCTCAAACGGGCGGCAGTCGAACTGCGCTCCGTGATCCGTGACAATCGTTTCGGGAATCCCGAAGCGTATCAAGATGTTATTGAAGAGGAATTTCTGTATTCTGGCACTGGTAATCGTCTCCAGGGGTTCAGCCTCTATCCACTTGGTAAAGTAGTCGACGGCTACTACCAAGTACTTCTTTCCAAGTGGGGCATTTGGGAAAGGTCCCAGGAGGTCTAGTCCCCATTTTGAAAAAGGCCATGGGCTTATGATTCCCTTCATTTCGGAAGCGGGAGCATGATGTTTGTCTGCGTGCGCTTGGCAAGCGTGACATTCTCGCACCATTTTCAGTGCGTCCTTCTTGACCGTGGGCCAATAGTACCCCTGTAAGAGTACCGCTCTTTCCAGACTCCGCGGCCCGAGGTGGGTGGCGCACGTTCCCATGTGTATTGTCTTTAGCGCCTCCTCTGATTCCTCCCTCCCTAAACACTTTAAGTATGCCCCTGTGAAAGAGCGTTTGAACAGCTCACCCCCCACCACGGTGTATCGCGTGGCCTTCCGCCGTAAGGCTTTGGCGGCCGCCGCCTCATCCGGGACTTCATCTTTCTCCAGGAAACCCAGCAGTTGACTTCTCCAATCCTCACAGTTGCCACCCTCCGCATCCGTTATGACAGCTACTTCCTTCGTTACCGTGACTTGTCTTTCCCCCTCGAAGTCCATTGCGGTGGCCAGCTTGGATAACGCATCAGCGTGTGCGTTCCCCTCCCGCCTTATGTGTTCCAACGTCCATTCCTCCATTTGTGCCAGTTCCCCTTGAGCTTTTCCGGCCAGCCTTGCTAACTCCTCCTCCTTAATTTCGAAGTTTCCATTAATTTGACCCACCACAAGTGACGAGTCAGAATAAATCTTTACCTTCTTGGCTCCCATTTCCATGATCAGCTTTACCCCGTTTATTAACGCTTCGTATTCAGCGACGTTGTTAGTCTTCAGGGCGTTAAAACGCATGGCCACCTCATGAACCACTCCGTCGGGGGTTTCTATGACGATCCCCGCTCCCGCACCTCTTTTGCCCGCAGCTCCGTCTACCAACAGCTTCCACGCTTCGAATTCTCTATTGGTGCCCTCATCAGTGGTGAAGCCCTCGACAACAAAGTCGGCCAAAACTTGGGCCTTGATTGCTGGTCTGGGAGCGTAGGAGATGTCGTGCTCACTCAACTCCACCGCCCACTTTGTCATTCTTCCGGAGGCGTCCATCCCTTGTAGTATTTTCTTGAGCGGTAAGTTGGATAGGACAGTAATAGGGTGGCTCTGAAAGTAGGGTCGCAATTTCCGCGCCGTCATTGCCACCGCTAGGACCGCCTTTTCAACCACCAAATACCTTGTTTCCGCTGGAAGTAACGCTTTGCTCACATAGTATATAGGTTGGTCCTTGCCATCCTCCGCTCTTCTTACAAGCACTGAGCTCACCGCCTGATGGGACACCGCTAGGTATAGGAATAAACGCTCTCCGTTAATAGGGGCGCTCAACACGGGGGGAGACGACAGTTGTTCTTTGAGGCGCATGAAAGCCTGATCACACTCCTCGCTCCATTTGAACTTAGTGGTTGATTTTTTTAGGACCTGAAAAAATGGGGAGCACTTGTCCGCTGAGCGGGGTATAAACCGGCTGAGGGCTGCCATCTTTCCGTTGAAAGCTTGTATCTCCTTGATCGTTTTCGGGGCCTTGAGTTGTAGTATTGCCTCGATTTGTTTCGGATTGGCCTCAATTCCCCGCTTCGTGATTAGAAACCCTAGAAACTTTCCCGCCTCCGCGCCAAACACGCATTTTGTGGGATTTAGGCGCAACCCATGCTTCCGCATATTCGAAAACGTCTCCCTCAAGTCTTGTAAGTGGGTTCCCGCCTCCTTACTTTTCACCAGCACGTCATCTACATAAGCTTCCACGTTCCGCCCTATCTGGTTGCGTAGCACCGCATCCACCATCCTTTGATATGTCGCACCCGCATTCTTCAAACCAAAGGGCATGACTACCCAGCAGTAGTTTCCCGTGGCTGTCATGAAGGCGGTTTTCTCTTGATCCTCTTCAGCAAGGCTGATCTGGTGATATCCCGAAAACATGTCCAGGAAGCTTAGCATGGAGTGATTGGCAGTGGCATCGATGAGTCGGTCAATCCTGGGGAGCGGGTACGCGTCTTTGGGGCATGCGCTATTCAGGCTGGTGAAGTCGACACACATGCGCCATAATCCCGAGCTTTTCTTCACAAACACTGGGTTGGCCAGCCATGTTGGGTATCGGACCTCCTTGATGAAACCCGCCTTGAGAAGTTTTTGTATTTCCTCTTCTAGTGCCA